TACCTTTCCGTTCATGCTGCTTGGAGATTACTTGCCTGAATGATACCAAGGCAGACGTTGCTAGCGTTATATACCTTTGGCGCTAAAACCCCGCCCTGCTCTCCGCCTCAGGACTTCCTTCCCTCCGTATGTTCTTAGGCTTTTTTGTTCTTCTGAAGTAACATACGCAGACATGACTCGACCTTGAGACGGCAAATGAAAGATAGAAAATAGCCGTTACGTTTCTAGTGTTTGATGGATTAATTGGTAGGTTTTGGGTGCGAAGTTTCAATTATGTCATGTATGAAATACGCCAGGTGCGAGGCAGTGGAGGGTGATGATTAACCTTTTATGGAGAATTGAGAACGCCCATGCATATTATACATCTATATATACTTATTGATATAGGCTTGGTTGTATATATCATGGTTTACTGTGTGTGTGGGAGGGGCGAGCTCTTTTGTAAGTGGGAGTGTGCTCAGCTAGGGAACATGAGGCTTCCTAAGTGAATGGATTTGACTCCTGCCTATGGTCCAAGGTGAGAAAGGTCTCGCAATGCTATAGCCAAAGTCCGGAAAAGGGGCACTGGCTTAAACCTCCCGTGACGTAAAATACCTTTATGCACACCTAATTTTTTTTTTTTTTTTTTAATATAGATATATATAAAAAAGATACACTAACTTCCTTTTGTAATTAAGCTGAAGCGCGATGGTGTTTGATAAACAAATGAAAGTAGACATGAACAGTACTTCTCATGATCGAAGATTTTGTATGAGGGACAGTCACGTTTGTTGTAATGGAAGACAAGCTTTACCAGTAGATTAATATTATGTCAATGCTAATAATGAAAAAACAGTTCCAGTAACAGACTGTCCTTTAATACTGATAGAAAATGATATTGATTATAGACTATGCCAGTAATGAAATATGATGCTGTAACAGTAAAAGTGTCTCAATATTCAATAACAAAAAATAGTGTCAATGAAAGGTAACCCTCTAATACGAAGAGATGAAAATAATGCCTCTAAAAACCTTGGCTTCAGTGCTGCTATAATAGTGGTACCCAAAGTTACAGGAGGCAGATTTTTAACCAGAGTGACTGAAGTTCCGCTACCAGCTTGTCACCAGTTGATTACAAATAACAAACGTTCCAACCACAAGAAGATAAGGAACTCCTTTCGTTGTAAGTCTCGGGATGTATGTATCACCTCATTTCGTTTACTATTTCCATTATCATGATATTTTCATGTTGTTATCATTATTAGGGTTATTTCTCTTGCCGCTTCTCTTGTTACTGACTAGTTATAAAAGTAATACCATAAGCATTATTACAGATATTCAAATAAGATTTGTCATCATTTGAAAATGTTTTCTAAATATTTACTTTCATCACTGATTTGTTACTTATATAGTATAGAGTGTAATAAAATAACATAATTTTAGCTTTAGCAGACAATCGACGAATCCAGAATGAGGCACAGCAGTACTTTATTGCATTAACATTACATTACATTTTACTGCAAATCTCAATACCGAGACATTACAGTATGTTAAGGAGGTCGGCTGTTTTGTCTGAAGAAACATTTAGGTATCGTGAAGAAAAATCTCTGATAGTACATGCTATATATATACTCGTATTTTCCATTTAATACTTTAAGGCTACAAGTCTGCAAGCCTCCAGGTCTATCTCCCTTTTTCTCTCTCTTACTATTTCTATCTTACAATTTGGGTAATTCTCACTTTATCATAATGAGTTACATATCTTCTACATATTGTCCAGGGATATGTATGCTCCTATAATTGTACCTAATTACACGTGTGTGGATAAATATATTAGTTTATGGTTATAGTAGGAAAATATATACTCAAAAGTTAAGCCAAAAGTTTATTTCTTCACGAATTTTCATCATAAATATTAAGCTATATACATTGTCGTAGAAAACTCCTTAACCGTATACGGGCCTGGGTGGCCTGTACTCCCGAGACTCAAAAGACTCAAAAGACTCGTAGGAGTCGGGGTAACGAGCCTCGCCCTCGTAGCTGACTTCGGCCACATAGCCGGAGTCGCCGTCCACGAAGTACTTGACGGTCTGCAGGCGGCCGTCGGGAAGCTGCACGTAGTACGATCCTTGAGTGTCGTCGCCGTCACGGGCCTCCTGGTGTCCGAACTCGTTGCTTGAGGAGTCATCGCTCACGGCCCAGTTGAAGTTGTACTTGGCTTCGGTAGACTCGTACGATTCCTCGGATGACTGTAATATATTCTCTTGTATCATATTCAGAAGCTAAACCCGAAAATCATCCATTAAACAATATTTGATTTTTAAAAATGATTTTTTTTTAGAATTGCTTGTCACTCACCTCAGGGGCACGGTAGGCATAGGGTCGTCTTTGGGCGGCGGCTGATGCCACCACAACCACGAGGAGGAGGATCTGAAACAAAGCAGTAATCAGTTTTAATAGCATTAGAGGATGGTAACCATCGTCACTCGTTTTACTTTTGTATTTCTTTGGATGTTACGATATAGTTGTCCCTATTTAGACTTAATTTATTGTCCTCTTAATCCTAAACTTATCTTGTGTTCAATCAATTTGAAATGGATTAAGAATTGTATGTATATACGTATCTATAGATACGCAGATTGATAGATTATGTAGATATGTGTGTATATATTTTGGCATATGTATATTTACATATATACATATGCATGCATACATATAAATATATACACATATATAAAGATATAGACATATATATATAAATATATACTTGTATATGTAAACATATACATATATGGATATGCACTTATATATACATATATAATATGTATCTGTAAATATATATAATGTGTATATATATATAATGTGTATATATATATATATATATATGAGCGTGTATATATATGTATAATGTATACGATTATAAAATATATTTATGTGTATATATATACATATATTCATATTGCGTGAATGTATGTATGTATATATATATACTGTACATACTGTAAACATATACGTATATCCATTCGGTATGAGACTGATCTCGCTTCAAACTAACTTACAAATTAACAATCAGTCAGGAAATACTGTTCAAATTATTATTCAATAAACACCGAATTCAGGAACTGAGAAGAGAACTGACCAAAATCAACTAACATTCCTTTACGTGCATTATATAACAAGTTTGGCTCGAGTACAGCTGCTAGCAATACGCTACCTTTCCGTTCATGCTGCTTGGAGATCTCTTGCCTGAATGATACCAAGGCAGACGTTGCTAGCGTTATATACCTTTGGCGCTAAAACCCCGCCCTGCTCTCCGCCTCAGGACTTCCTTCCCTCCGTATGTTCTTAGGCTTTTTTGTTCTTCTGAAGTAACATACGCAGACATGACTCGACCTTGAGACGGCAAATGAAAGATAAAAAATAGCCGTTACGTTTCTAGTGTTTGATGAATTAATTGGTAGGTTTTGGGTGCGAAGTTTCAATTATGTCATGTATGAAATACGCCAGGTGCGAGGCGGTGGAGGGTGATAATTAACCTTTTATGAAGAATTGAGAACGCCCATGCATATTATACATCTATATATACTTATTGATATAGGCTTGGTTGTATATATCATGGTTTACTGTGTGTGTGGGAGGGGCGAGCTCTTTTGTAAGTGGGAGTGTGCTCAGCTAGGGAACATGAGGCTTCCTAAGTGAATGGATTTGACTCCTGCCTATGGTCCAAGGTGAGAAAGGTCTCGCAATTCTATAGCCAAAGTCCGGAAAAGGGGCACCGGCTTAAACCTCCCGTGACGTAAAACATACCTTTATGCACACATATATATATATTTTTTTTCAATATAGATACAAAGAAATGCACTAACGTGTTTGATAGACAAGTGAAAGTAGACATGAACAGTACTCATGATCGAAGATTTTGTATGAGGGACAGTCACGCTTGTTGTAATGGAAGACAAGTTTTACCAGTAGATTAATATTATGTCAATGCTAATAATGAAAAAACAGTTCCAGTAACAGACTGTCCTTTATTGCCGATAGAAAATCTTATTGATTATAGACTATGCCAGTAATGAAATATGATGCTGTAACAGTAAAGGTGTCTCAATATTAATCAATAACAAAAAATAGTGTCAATGAAAGATAACCCTCTAATACCAAGAGATGAAAATAATGCCTCTAAAAACCTTGGCTTCAGTGCTGCTATAATAGTGGTACCCAAAGTTACAGGAGGCAGATTTTTAACCAGAGTGACTGAAATTCCGCTACCAGCTTGTCACCACTGATTATAAATAGCAAACGTTCCAACCACAAGAAGATAAGGAACTCCTTTCTTTTAAGTCTCGGGATGTATGTATCACCTCATTTCGTTTACTATTTCCATTATCATTATATTTTCCTGTTGTTACTATCATTATTAGGGTTATTTCTCTTGCTGCTTCTCTTGTTACTGACTAGTTATAAAAGTAATACCATAAGCATTATTACAGATATTCATATAAGATTTATCATCATTAGAAAATATTTTCTAAATATTTACTTTTATCACTGATTTGTTACTTATATAGTATATAGTGTAATAAAATAACATTGTAAGTTTAGCTTTAGCAGACAATCGACGAATCCAGAATGAGGCACAGCAATACTTGCATTGCGTTAACATTACATTACATTTTACTGCAAATCTCAATACCGAGACATTACAGAATGTTAAGGAGGTCGGCTGTTTTGTCTGAAGAAACATTTAGGTATCGTGAAGAAAAATCTCTGATAGTACACGCTATATGTATATATATTAGGATTTTCCATTTAATACTTTGAGGCTCTCTCCCTCTTTTTCTCTCTTACTATTTCTATCTTACTATTTGGGTAACTCTCACTTTATCATAATGAATCATTACATATCTTCTACATATCGTCCAGGGATATGTATGCGCCTATATTAGTGCCTAAGTGCATATGTGTGGATAAATACATTATTGTATGGATATAGTAGGAAAATATATATTCAAAAGTTAAGCCAAAAGTTTATTCTTCCACGAATTGTCATCATAAATATTAAGCTATATACATTGTCGTAGAAACCTCCTTAACCGTATACGGGCCTGGGTGGCCTGTACTCCCGAGACTCAAAAGACTCAAAAGACTCGTAGGAGTCGGGGTAACGAGCCTCGCCCTCGTAGCTGACTTCGGCCACGTAGCCGGAGTCGCCGTCCACGAAGTACTTGACGGTCTGCAGGCGGCCGTCGGGAAGCTGCACGTAGTACGATCCTTGAGTGTCGTCGCCGTCACGGGCCTCTTGGTGTCCGAACTCGTTGCTTGAGGAGTCATCGCTCACGGCCCAGTTGAAGTTGTACTTGGCTTCGGTAGACTCGTAAGATTCCTCGGATGACTGTAATATTTTCGCTCATATAGTTTTGAGAAACTGAATCCGAAAATCATCCATTAACCAACATTTAGAAACACCTGTATTTTTTTTTCAGAAATGTTTGACACTCACCTCAGGGGCACGGTAAGCATAGGGTCGTCTTTGGGCGGCGGCCGATGCCACCACAACCAAGAGGAGGAGGAACTGAAAACAAAGCATCGATCGGTTATATTGGCATTAGTGGGTGACAATAATCGTCACTGGTTTAACTTTCGTAGTCCTTTGTATGTGTTATATGAATTCGAAGAGGATTAATGCAGGGAAGCTGGTTCTAAATATGTAGAACTTACAATAAATGTAAATATTGTTTTGTTACAGTACCCACTCTGGAGATATGTCTGGAAAGTGGTTAGTTATTTGTACTGACATATTTTGAGAGCATGATATCCAAAGTCATATTCCACATTGTTTCACGAAACACTTTCATCATGAAGAAAAGCCTCGATCAGGTAAGACGTTAACATTATGTACATAAGACAAAGACGAATAAAGAACAACTAATCTTAAGTAACGAGACACTGATCCTATAAGAGTTAACACATTTTATCGACTCGCCTACCTTGGCGTTCATGATGCTCTGGGAACTTCAACTCGAATGATGCAGAGTCAGGTTCTGCTTGTATTATATACCTTTCACCGTAAAACACGCCACCCTTATCCCCGCCCAAACACTCACTGGGCGGGCGTCACGGTCCAAGTTTTTATCGCTCTGTAGTAACGCCAACAGACTCGCTGGCGTTTCGCGACCTTGAAATTATGTTAGGAGAGATGGATCGTTGTTATTCAGAGCCCTGAGTATCTGAATTGTACACTTTGTGAAATAGCTGATTTAGCAGCTACCTGTAATGATGCCAGTCAAGTTCATAATTCTTAGACTCAGCTTGACAGAACTGTATACCCACTGTATCCCCTTATACGCATGTTCTTTGAAGTATGGGTAATCATGATTTTCTTTCCTATTTAGTTTAATATTTATTTTTTTTCGTGTTAATGGCTGCCTCATTAGCATTGACATGCCGGTCCACCTACCTTCCTTGTTATCTATCTATGCAAACCATAGAGATTAAACCATATATACGTGTGCGTGTGTGCGTTAATATATATATATATATAAACATGCGCACGCGCGCACACACATACACACACACACACAAACACACACACACACAAACACACAAACACACACACACACATACATATATACATACATATATACATACATATATATCCCTTCTATCTTCTCTCTCTTTTCTCCACTGATGCCTTACGGGTAGTCAGTCTGTAGGTGTTGCATCACTCATATGATTTCCTTTTCTTCTCCGACCTTAGTCAAGTTTTTATGTCTCTTTCCATTCGCTAGATTATCGATATGTGTGTGTGTGTGTGTGTTTCTGTGTGATAACAATAATAGTCAAATAATAATAATGATAATAAGAGGAAGAGTGATATTAATAATAAGAGTATAGTGATGATAATAATAATAATAATAATAATCATAATGATAAGAATTTGATGATAATGATGATGTTCATAATAATAATAATGATAATAATAGTAATAATAATAATAATAATAATAATAATAGTAATAATAATAATAAAAATAGTAATAATAATAATAATAGTAATAATAATAATCATTATCATACCCTTAATAACAATAACAATAACGATAATAATGATAGTTATCATAATAATAACAAAAACAATAATAATAATGAGAATGATAACAATAATAATAGTAAGAACAGTAATACTAATTATCATTGTCATTATTATTATTATTATTGTTACTGTTATTATTATAATAAGAATAATATTTATTATTATTATTATTATTATTATTATTATTGTTATTATTGTTATTAATATTATTACTATTACTATTACTATTATTATTATAATTATCAATGATGATTATAAGAAGAATGATAATGATAATAATAATTGTAATAATAACAATAATACTAATAAAGATAGTATAACAAGGTTAATTATGGTATAAAAATAATAATAATAATAGCAATAATAATAGTTTTAATGATAATAATAATAATAATGATAATGATAATAATAAAGATAATGATAATGATAATAATAAAGATAATGATAATGATAATATTAATAACAATAGTACCAATAACAACAGCAACAACAACAAGACGCACCGTAATCATAATGATAACTGATGATGATAATGAGCATGAGGAGGATAACAATAATGATAATAATAATGATAATGATAATAATAATGATAATAATAATAATAATAATAACAATAACCTAATTATGATAATGATCATAGTAATAATAGCAATAAAGCAAATATTAGGAAAAACAAAATCAGCAATAACAGTACTTATAGTGGTAATAGTGGATGCAATAGTTCTTAGAGACAATAAGGATACAGATAAAAAGCCATTGATAGCAACTCTGGTCACATCTGATGCCGCCCGATAGTTTTTTTTCCCTATTTTATGTGGCAATAGTCGTGTATACATTTGGGAGAAACTATTGCCAGTCCCTCTCACAAACAAAAAGTACAAATCCTCATAAAAAAAAAGGTGCAAAAGGTATCATAACGTAATCAAACGAATATCTGGATCAAAGGACCTCACATGATCCCGAGATTATCAGTTCGTCGGTTAAACAGGTGAGCGCATTGCCACACACAGGTAACCGCCGTGACCCCGCGGGAGAAGGTCAGGTCATGTCTGCAGGGTGCGAAAGTCTTTCACACCTTTTATACCCAAATTTATTTTTTCCGGATAAAGTATGCTTCGCCTTTTAGTGTGTGGGGATATTGCACAGTTACAAGATGAAAAAAATATAGGTGAGCGGAAGGTAGGTGGGCTCGATCCAAGCCTCACACATTAACACATGTTTTTTTCATGTTGATATTTGTGTATGTAAATATGTGATAGGTATTGTGTGCGTGTGTGTGGGTGGGTGTGTGTTTGTGTTTTTTTTTCTCCTTTGCATCCTCGTGTTAAAAGGATATCTGTACCGGATGAAGTATAATGGGCTATTAATTAAGGAATGATTATTAATCCACAATCTTTGTAGGATTAAAATCAGTATATATATATATTTTCTTGTGTGTGTGTGGGGGGGGGGGGGGTAAAGGGATGTTCAATCTAATTCATTTGCATATCCGACCATTCCTTGCCTCTCGATGATGAACTCATGCGCTGAAATCCTTCACAAAGATGTTTGACAGTACGATTTATCCTCTGGAGTCATACTTACAAAAGGATGAAGCTTTTCTGAGATTATATCTCACCAAGATTTAAGCTTCTGCTTGATGCCTTCCTTGGATCCTGTGTTTATCTCTTGGCAAGGACATGTTTTTGCTCGTGAGCTGGGAAGGGCTGACCTCTTTGCCCCAACACGCAGGTACAGTTTAGGTCCATGTAAGAATAACTTGTATTGAAATATTCCACTACGTGTGTTTGTGATGACCAAAGTACAAGGGCCGGTAGACTTTCCTTGGCTTTTTAAGGTAAATATATATCGCCATGTGTTTCATGTCCGAAAGGTTTCAACATGATAAGACTTGAGTATTACGAAAAAAATAAAGTATATATCACCACGGGTGTTTCATGTCCCGAGTTCCATTTCCTCAGTTCTCAAAAATACGAATAATGATAATTACAATACAGGATTCTAATACCTTAGTTTCATACTAAGAAATTTCCACTCATGAAGTGAACGAGATCGCTCCAATAGGTGAAGGGTTTTGCAGAGCGGTAGGAATGTCCAAAAACGCCACTTGCAAATCGAGTTATGATTGACGCAACAGAGAGCGGCATTTCCTCTCCGATCACGAGCATCACTGCCCAAAGCATGCCAGGGCGTGATCGAACCCGCCGCTCATACACACGCACGTTAATTTCTTGTAATAATGATGTTGATAATGATAACAATAATGATAATAATAATAATAATAATAATAATAATGATAATAATAATAATAATGATAATGATAATAATAATAATAATAATAATGATAATGATAATAATAATGATAATAATAATAATAATAATAATAATAATAATGATAATGATAATAATAATGATAATAATAATGATAATGATAATAATAATGATAATGATAATAATAATGGTAATGATAATAATAATGATAATAATAATGATAATGATAATAATAATGATAATGATAATGATAATGATAATAATAATGATAATGATAATAATAATGATAATAATAATGATAATGATAATAATAATGATAATGATAATAATAATAATAATAATAATAATAATAATGATAATGATAATAATAATGATAATGATAATAATAATGATAATGATAATAATAATAATGATAATGATAATAATAATGATAATAATAATAATAATAATAACAATAACCCTAATTATGATAAGATCATAGTAATAATAGCAATAAAGCAAATATTAGGAAAACAAAATCAGCAATAACAGTACTTATAGTGGTAATAGTGGATGCAATAGTTCTTAGAGACAATAAGGATACAGATAAAAAGCCATTGATAGCAACTCTGGTCACATCTGATGCGCCCCGATAGTTTTTTCCCTATTTTATGTGGCAATAGTCGTGTATACATTTGGGAGAAACTATTGCCAGTCCCTCTCACAAACAAAAAGTACAAATCCTCATAAAAAAAAAGGTGCAAAAGGTATCATAACGTAATCAAGCGAATATCTGGATCAAAGGACCTCACATGATCCCGAGATTATCAGTTCGTCGTTAAACAGGTGAGCGCATTGCCACACACAGGTAACCGCCGTGACCCCCGCGGGAGAAGGTCAGGTCATGTCTGCAGGGTGCGAAAGTCTTTCACACCTTTTATACCCAAATTTATTTTTTCCGGATAAAGTATGCTTCGCCTTTTAGTGTGTGGGGATATTGCACAGTTACAAGGGGGAAAAAAAATATAGGTGAGCGGAAGGTAGGTGGGCTCGATCCAAGCCTCACACATTAACACATGTTTTTTTCATGTTGATATTTGTGTATGTGAATATGTGATAGGTATTGTGTGCGTGTGTGTGGGTGGGGTGTGTTTGTGTTTTTTTTTTTCTCCTTTGCATCCTCGTGTTAAAAGGATATCTGTACCGGATGAAGTATAATGGGCTATTAATTAAGGAATGATTATTAATCCACAATCTTTGTAGGATTAAAATCAGTATATATATATATATATATATATATATATATATATATATATATATATATATATATATATATATATATATATATATATATATATATATATATATATATATATATATATATATATATATATATATATATATATATATATATATATATATATATATATATATATATATATATATATATATATATATATATATATATATATATATATATATATATATATATATATATATATATATATATATATATATATATATATATATATATATATATATATATATATATATATATATATATATATATATATATATATATATATATATATATATATATATATATATATATATATATATATATATATATATATATATATATATATATATATATATATATATATATATATATATATATATATATATATATATATATA